AAAATAGAAACATGACTGTGAGGATATAAGTACATTAATATTTCATACATTAATTTTTATAATCAATAAAGCATAAAGTGAATGAATGAATGATTGCTTTTAAAAAAAACACTGAAAATCTGAGATATTTTTATTATATATATTGTTACATATGTAGGTTTGTTGATTAGAATTTCAGTTTTGTTTTGTTCTTATCCACTGTTGACAATATAGCCCCCCCCCTTACTCTCCAGAGCAGAAAACTATTTTTGTATTAGGGTTTTTCACTGTGATGGGTACTTGGGCACTGAGATATACACCCATACAAAAACCTAAGAGTAAAAATCTTACACTCATCTATTAATCTGATGAAAAAAAAGGACAGGACAAAATACATCTTATTGGTATATGAGGTAACTACCATGTTTATCATTTTTAATGAGCAGATTGATAGTTAAAATTAGGTTAATTCATAGTTTATAGTCACAGTTAGTGCACAGGTGTAAATGTTATATATGGCAAATGTTCTTTTTAAGAACTGATTAAGAATCAACACAAAAGACATGCTCACAGGTTGACACCAGTGTATCACATGTACCAGGATTTCTATGCATTTCAGACATTTACTTAAGGTTTTTAAAGTTTTTCTGGTGCTACAGGTTTTTGTTCAAGCAGTGAATGGAGATGCAGCACTGTGATTATTTCGACTACTGGGGTAAAGGGACTGATGTCACAGTAACAACAGGTAAGCCACATTTAAACACAGAATTTTCAGTGATCAGTTTATTTTTATTTAAAAATGTGATTATTGACATTAGAGGAGTTTAGGTCATGATCTTGTTTAAGTTTGTACTGATCAGACAGAGCAGATAAAACTGAGCCGTCAAGATGTTTATGATGCAGCTATTTTGTAGAAAGCATTTTGAAAAATTCTTCTTTGGCATTATCACTTAATGATTTGCTCTTACATTTTATTCAACTGGATTGTGATTGTTACTGATGAATATCTGCATCTTTTTATTCATGCATTTATTCAATGATTTTTTTCTCTTACTGTCGATTATAATTATGCAACATACTCTACCTGGATTATTTTTACAAGGTGTTACCATAAACGTGGGATACTTGCTTTAAATACATGTGTTTCAAACAACTGAACACTGTACAAAGAAATTAACAAGTAAACAATTCAAATATAAAATTTATCTAAAAAAACAAAACAAAACACACTGACCTTCAAACGATCAAATATGAATTTGCACAAAAGGTCAAATTGATAGTTTTAAATTTAAAGTTTCGCTTTACTTGTTCTGATTTGTAATTCTTTCCATCAGGCATTTGACTGTTTTGGTATATAAGTTTATTGAAAAACAAAAAGAATAACAAAATGTTAATTAAATTTAATATAGTGTGGTAAGAAAAAAAATTTATGGACTTATTATATTAACATCTTGGTTAAATAGAAGTTTTTGGTGTGGAAAATTGTGGTGCTGTTGTATAAATGTATTCAGATTCAGTCTCTTTATCCGTGAGCTGAACAGACAAATAAAACGAATCAATAAGACAATACTTTACTGTTACTTTTTAAATGATGATGGCATCTTTCTTCAAGTTCATTGTGTAAATAGACAGTCACATATTAACCTGCTGATAATTTTGGTTTGTCATTATTTTAACAATATTTATTTATTCCGTGTTATATATGATTATTAAGGAAAACCTGCCACTGCTCCTACAAAATGGTTAAGAACAATTCATGTTTCACTTTGTGCAATGTGTTCAGTATTGCAAAATAATCCAAACAGTATAAAATAAAAATATGAAATAACAATTAATAATACCAACTAAGTTTTAAAAATCTGTTTGAATATTTCAAAGTTACATTATATGCCATAATGTCTAACAATGTGAAACTGTAATTTATGTATTTAACATTGAACACTTTGGGAGTTATTTAATTCTAAGGTTGAAAGATTCAACCATTATTATTATATCTGTGATCAACTTTTCTGATGAGTAATTCATTATCTGTGTTTCTTGATTTACCTGAATTCAAACTTTTAAAACTCTTTTACAGAGTCAGCTGTGCCACCGACTGTGTTCCCTTTGATTCAGTGCAAATCTGGGTCTGGAGATAAAATCGCTGTTGGTTGTCTTGCATACAACTTCTCCCCAAAGAATCTTAATTTCCAGTGGACTGATGCCAGTGGGGCCGTCCTGACTTCAATACAATATCCTCCTGCTGAGAAAAACAACAAATATACAGCAGCCAGTTTGATCCAAGTATCAAAATCTGACTACGATTCAAGGAAGTCTTTTAAATGTTCAGTAACTCATGGTGGATCTGTAAAAACCCTGCAAGTGCCAAGTACGTAATTTTAACTTTTAATAAGATGTCTCTCTAATTTCATTATACTGTGTGATGGGTCAGCTTACCATCCCCATTCATCTTGGTCTAATCTACAAATGTTCAGCAATATTTATTCCTTCACATTTGTGACATTTCCTTTGTCTGTCTGATGCATATATTTTTCCTTTGAGCCAAATATCTTATCACTTGCACATGAAAGATTAATATTCATATTAATATAATATTGAATGACTGTAACTCTGCTGTTTCCTCCACCTATTCAGAG